AGGAGATGATGCACAGAGGAAGATGCTAGTTTGATTGTGTTTTGAACAGTTATTTTGCGTTTAATGCACACACCCTTCTCATGCATACACAAAGAAATGCATATGATGCAGCTTTCAAGTTAAAGGCAATTGATCTGGCTGTCGAAGAAGGACACAGAGTCGCTGCACATGGGCTCGGCATCAATGAGTCAATGGTGAGACGTTGGCAACGGCAGCATGACGAACTGACTCAATGCAAAAAGACAACAAAAGCTTTCAGAGGCAATAAAACCAGATGGCCCGAACTTGAAAGCGTTCTTGAAGACGTGGACACCTGCAGTTTATAGACAAGTGCAGCCTATATATGTATTTTTTTTTTCTTTTAAAATGTAGTTAATGCAGCTTATATTCACGTGAGCTCAATAGTTCAGAAATTACGGTACTGTGTTCTCTACTTTTATTTTCTTCATCTGTGATACATGTAAGATTCGGTAGCGTCGCATAGCCATTTTTGTATAAATGAAAATCTGATAGTAGCCTGATGTGATGATGTTAACACTGACGTCAGCTCCCATTGGGCACTTCAGTTTTCACTGCAGAAGTCAGTTTGTTTGTTTGTTTCATTAAATTTTTTTAGAACAATATTGTGATTTAAAATGTCCATATTATAACATAATGATCCACGGGTGTCATAAATTATAACTATATAGCAGACACAAGCACAATGTGTCTTCTTCAGCACTAATATTAATGCAAGGTCAAAGCAGCCGTATGATAAATCTACTGAAATCCTAATTTGTAATATCTTTATTGCTAATCTTGTCATTGAAAAATATTCCATCTGGTTGATCAAATTAATTCAGAACTTGTTTTCATTCCATGCCAAGGTCTATTCAGAGGGCTGGTGTGAGCAGTGATGCATTGTGGGAGTGCTGGTATGGGCCTGGAGCTGTTCAAAGTAATGCTGACATATTTCACACAGGCCTGAGCATGCTGGGTTCTGTCCATCAGTCCTGAGCTGATGCAGAACGGAGAGCTGCTACTGGAGCCCAAAGTGAAGGAGGTCATCAAAGCAGGAAGGGAGTGAGTGGGTTTCAAACATATTAAAAATCGTGACTGCAATTAATTAGCATGAATTAATTAGAATAGTATCAATTAGCATGTTCCAAAAAGAAAAACAGAAAAATAGTGTTGATTAATTGTTCTCTAGCTTAATTAAATGGTAAAAAATGGCACAAAATGGTTATCACAACAGGAAACTGAAAACTCTGAATTACAAATCAGAATCAGAATGAGTTTTGTGCCATTGTCAGGGAACAATATTCACAAACTAGGAGCTTGCATAGGGATTATGGCGCAACATTAAACAAAGAATAATAATGTAAACTATGATCAAATAAAAATCAGGGCATGCATTAAAATAATGTAAAAAATATAGACTATGATATACAATAAAAAATATACAGCAGGGCAGAACAATAGTGCAAAGTTATCAGTGCAAGTAAGACAGTTACTGTTGTTTAAAGTGACAGTGTTATAAAGTGAGGGGTTATAAAATCTCCTGCCTGAAGGGAGGGACTCAAATTATCCGCATGTGTGTGCGTGTTTGTGTGCGTGTGCGTGTTTGTGTGCGTGTGTGTGCGTGTGTGTGCATGTGTGTGTGTGTGATGGACTTGAGGTGGGGCAAGACAAGCCATTCCAAATAATTTCCCTTGTGGATCAATAAAGTTTGTCTAATCTACAAGTCTTTATGATTACAGATGTCAGGCCTGTAGCCATTAAGTCCAGTGATCCAAGGCTACAGATGCACAGAGGTGTAAACAATGTCAAGATTACTTAATCAATTAATCAATAATTATGATTATTCAGGTCACAACATACTTGTACTAATTGTGTCATTACAGTCAAGAACAAGTACCGCTGAATGTGCTTGAGGTACTTTTTTACAATTACTTTATCATTCAGAAAGACTGATTTCATAAAGCTGGTCACATACTCACAATGATGAGCTTTTATATGGTGTGGTGAAAGAAATGAAAGGTTTTACTCTTGTTTAGTTATGGTATTAATAATTATGAATATGGTGTCAGTTGTGAATAAATGATAGATCAATAAATCGTTTCACAAAGATCGTTGCACAAAAATTTTATATTGTGACATCCCTGTTGGAGATCCAGTTTTCCAATTTTTGTTTTCAGACATTCACTGGAATCTGGCAGTATTTTCCAGTAGCAGACCCTGCACATGAATGATCACATCTCACTGGTTTTGAAGGCTTGTCTTTCTCAAAACAGACATGGACTACTGACCCATGTTGGCCAACAACCTTTGCAGCAGCCCCTATATCACTAAGACAGAAATGTCAGATTAAAGTTCACTATGTAACTTTTCTGATATTAACTTGATCTTATGATTGTTATACGCACAGGCTTGTGGAGCTGATGCTCGCGCATCAGAAGTCTTTCCGCGTACTAGCTGTTTCCTTTTATTCCATATATATATATATATATATATATATATATATATATATATATATATATATATATATATTTTTTTTTTTTTAATGTTTTTTCATTCTTTTTCCTATGTGGATCAATACTTTGTCTCATAGTAATAACTGCCTGCTTTTGGGCAGCAGATTTCTCATATTCCACATAGGCCTTAATCACAGAAGACACAAAAGGCATACAAAACCATGCCCAAGCCTTTCAGTGGACACAAAGACTGACAACTCAATAGCCAAGAGTGAATAGTGGCCATAGCTAACATGTGTGTGTCCATCTCCTGTGCTGTGAAACAGGCTCAAATTTTCATTGTGCTGGGCCCCTCCACGGCTCCAGGCTCAGACAGCAGACAGTAGGGAGCTGGAGAGGAGTGGGGCTGTCCATCAGTGGATATGTCCACACAAAGCAGAGCAAAGCTTACACGCTGAAAACAGAGACACACCTTTCACTACCTATATGTGCTGTATTGTATAGGAGAGTGAGAAATAATAATGTACTGCATTATAAAGGTTGAGAACATATTGTGCAAAATTTAATCTGCTCCACAATGTTTTAGGGTACAGCTGGAAATCAGTGCCAGAGTCTTTTATAAAGTTGTTTCAGATCAAAATTGCAATTAAAATTTTACAAAATATAAAATAATAATTCATATAAAAAATTATTATGCATAGTTTTGTACACTAAGTTACAGAATTTCTGGGCATCAATATACAGTATTTGTTTTGGGGTTTTTTTAAAGACTTTTTCATGTACAGTTGAAGCCTGAACCAGTCCTGATTATTACTGGGTGCTCAGAGCAATCAAACAAACTGAAGAATCACTAAACTCATCTCCAGTCTTATGAGGTGACGTGTGCACAGAGACTGATCCTTCTCTTGTGGAAGGGAAAGAAAGTTTTCTCATTACAGGCCTGGATCTCACTGATGACAGAGACTCATATTCAAAAAGACTGGATGATTTTGAGCAAATGTTGGAGCCATTCACTTCATATTTGGAGTGAACTATGAGCTGACGAATGGAGTACACAGTGGGATAGCACCCTGAGGAATAGAGCAGATGTGGGGAGGGATTTTATTTGAGTTTCTGTATTTTAAGTTATACTATTACATTGTTATAGTACTATGTCTTGTTTTGTTCTCTTTTTTGTTGTTAAAAAGAAAGCCAACATGTATATATGCATTAATGTAAAAATTCATACTGGCTTTTCAATAAATATATTTGATACATCCAAAATTATAAGAATATAACAAACAAAAATATAATGCCTTTAAAGTTGCTGAGGGGAAAATACTTCAATCAAGCTGTTTTGCTAAATTTAAATCAAGGATACATAAGTTTTTCATATATATATAAAAGCCAACAAAGACCTACATAGCAGAAGTATAGTAGACTAATGTATACCTGAACAATACTTCTTGTTCAGGTATACAGTGTAGAGCTTTGAAAGGCACTGTCAGGTGTGTAAAGCATCATTATTTTTTAGATGCATGCTTAGGGAACTATTATTTCCTTGTATCAAATAATGGCCTCTTATATGTATTACCTTTTTCACACATATCACTCACGAGGCGTTAGGAAAATGATCTCCTGACATTTTCTTCAGACTTGTGATTCTGGGCTCTAATATGTGAGAGAAGGGGCATGCTACTCTGATGGAATTTTCCTCCACCACATATAATCCACATACCAAACACAGGCAGCATATTAGCATTTGGGTCTGCTTTTCAAATAAAAAAAAAGAAGAAATGGTAATTGTGGGAGATTGCATTATACCCCTGTCATCCGTTTACAGTGGAACCAACGGAGTAGAGCATGAAGCATTAATATGCACGTGTCTAATGAGAGGCTTATGCTGTTCCATGTCACTGCTTGTCACAATGTTATGTACAAGCAAATGCCACGTATTGTATTGTATGCTAATTGTAAACTGTACAAATGTTGCATATTCATGAGGTGTCAGAAGAAACAGTTTGAGTGTGAAAGCTGATTGGCTTCACTCTGTCATTAACCTCGCAGTGTGAGATACTGCTCTCTGACAAATGCTCTGAGGGCATATACAATCATCTCTACACAGCTACATATGCATATACATACACACACACACACACACACACACACACACACTACACACAGACACAGACACAGACACACAAACATTCATATACACATACATATACACAACATTAAAGGAGGCAAGGACAGGCATTTATGGCGTTCTCCATTTTAAATTCTACACCAGACAGTCAAGGACAACTACACTTAATTTTGAGTCGGATCAAGACTAAACAAAAGAAAAGGGAGGAGTGATTATAGTCAACAAACTGTTTCAAAACACCATCTGAAATACTTTACTTTGATAAAAATGTAGGTCCTTTCATATTTGAGAGGAGATGTCCTTGCATATTTGCATTTTCTTTACACAGTATCTTGTTGCCAAGACAACATACTGATCATACTGAATTAATCATTTTTTGTTTGACAAAATCATAGCCCATGTTGTGGTGTGATGGAGCCTACCTTCTGGCGGATCTCCTCCTCCATCCTGATGGGTGAGCCCAGCTCGGCCACCTGCCGCACCCCCTCACTGGCGTAGCCTCCGTACTCCCACAGCACATAGCTCCTGGAGTGGGAAGCCCCAATCAAAGCAGACCAGTGATTGGCTCGTCCTGGAAATTCAAACATGAGGACAACTTCAGATGTGCTACAATTATCACTTAATGCTGTTGAGCTGCACTTCAATTTGCAGGTTTACAACAGAGGGTTATTTAACATCTCACATTTTGGTCCTCATGTCATGTGAAAGTATGTTAAAATGCTTCTGTCATTTTTTCCAGTGGTGTTGAGAGCAGTGAGAGGAGCAGTGGGCGGTAAGAAGAGATGATGCCCTGTGTAAGTGTGTGCAGTGTAGAGCTGAGCAGAACCTATCAGCTGTGTCAGGAGTGATGTGGCTCCAGACTCCTCGGCCACAGTCCAGGGCCCGCACCAGTCTGCACAGGTCTGAAACAGGCTCCCATTGAAGGAATTTATTTTTCACCTAAGCACTTGGCTTTTCATAGAGCCATTTGGTGAACAGATTTATATCCCGTTCGTCTCAATTTGCAGACACATTTCTTCTAACATTATGTTCTTTTATTGTGCGGAATAGACCTATGAACTGCTGCTATTTTTACTATTGGTGATATGTTTTAATGCAGTGCTTGTCTCACGCCTTTATAGCAATTTAAGGCCTCTATAAACCACGGTTAGTTGGCAGACAAGCATTTTGGGGGTTGGACTCTTATAAATTCAAATTAAAGTTGGTATGTCATTGCGTATCCTTATCTTGTAAAAGGAAACTATGGTATTTCTGAATACTCCGAAGAGTACAAAGTTCAGTTCTCAGTCTTTGAGCAAAACACACATGGTCATTTTCTTCTAGTATGTGTCTAACTACGACTGGTATGGCATAAGAAATTTAAAGGTGTACTGTCTCATTTTTAAATGGAGAGTCCGCCACTTGCTTGTGAAAATATTATAACTTTGCCTGGAATGTTTCACAATATGGCATTACACTTGTATTTACATGGAGACAAGTAAGTGACAACATTAGACCAAGTTAGTTAAATCCACGTATCAATCTTTCATTCGTTTGTCAAAATAAAACCAAAAATAAGAAAACAAAAAAACAACACTTTACCTAACCTAAAACGGGTAATGATTCTTTTTTTTTTTTTTTTTTTTTTTTCAGTTTTCAATTTTGTCTTTAAGTAAATAATTGATAAAACTGATAACGGCCATTTGCTTGGCTTAAACTACTATGCTGGACTTTTGCACTGCATACGGACTGATCCCAGGACTGAACCAGGTCTAAAAGAGGACTAAAACAGGATCTGGTCTCAGTCCCGGTCTAGTCTCAGTCTCAGTCCCGGTCTCAGTCTCGGTCTGGTACCAGTCTGGTCCTGGTTTCCTGGTCACCCGACAGTCTACGCGGGCGCACCTCCAACCCACCTCTGGGTACGTCCCGACACTCCTGGTTCAGTCCTGGTTTAGACCTGGGTCAGTTCAGGTATAGTCCTGGTTTAGTTCTGGTTTAGGACTGAGACCAGGACCAGACCCGGACCAGACCTGGTTTAGACCTGGTTTAGTCCTGGTTTAGTTCATATGCGGTGCAAAATCTGGCATCGCAGTTTAAGTCACGGAAACGAGAAATAGTCATTATCCATTTTTTCCATTGTTCATTTAAACACAAAATCACAAAATCAAAAACTGAAGAAAAAAAAAAAAAAAGAAGAAATGAATAAAATTGTTGCTTTTTCATTTTCTTATTTTTGGTTTTATTTTGAAAAACGAATGAAAGAATGATACATGAGACTTATATACGGGTCAGATCTGTGGAGAGGAGACACCAGAGTAAGAAAAGTAAGAACCTGCATTTTATTTCATGTAAAAATGGATAAGTGTAATGCCATGCTGTGGAACTTTCCAGACAAAGCAATTAAATCTGGAGTTACCAAAGAGAAAAGTTATATTGCACCTTCAAATATACTTCAAATATAATTTTGTTAGCTAAATTGAGAATGGGAAACACAGCAAAGTCAAAACCCCTAAGTTGTTATATGAGCGTGAAGTGTTGTGAAAAATATTTTAAAAATCATGAACAAAATGCATGCTTCTAAGCTGCAACCTTGATGCTCAAGTTGAATACAAATCAAATGAATTGTTCAGAGTTGTGGTCACAGTTTTGTCTGTAGCTAGGAGCAGCTGTAGACCTATTCAAAATAATCATGCACTATGCCCTGGTAATCATTCATATGTTTGACCTTTTCTCTGAAGCGACAAAAAGAGATGTCATCAAAGTTCCACGAGGATATTTTGTTCGCTGTCCATACGTTACCACTATGAGACAAAGACCGAGGTACACCGCTTTCAATACAAACTATAGATTCTTCTCTATATCATTTGGAGCATAAAGATTGATAAAGATGCACTTTAGCTGAAGGTCTAACAAATACAGACACAAAATACACTTCTCCATTCATGTCTTTGGATGTAAGCAAGCAAAAGAAACAGAAGAGGATCTATTGTAACGAAGGAAGGACAAGCAAAGTTTACTCAGTCTGAAGATTATATCACTATAAAGTTTAGCACAGAATTGTTTACAGAAATGTTTTGAGTCACACACTTGGATAGTCCTTGGGATGTACTTTCTCAGACCAGTTTCCATAGAAGGTGAGGCGGTACTTGGCCGTTCCACAGGCACAGCACTCCAAAGCAGGTGTCTGAGTGGCTTCACCAAACACGATTTCTGCAACAACAAAAAAATGAGAAAAACAGGAAGAAAGATTCGGTTTAAAACAAGAGTGTGAGAAATGAATAGTGGTGGCATGTAACAAAGTAGTGAAGTACTGTACTTAAAAAAAATGTAGTTATCTGTACTTTACTTAAAGGTACATTGTGTAACTTTTCTAGTGGTGGATCTGTCAAATGCTTTTATCCATGGAGATGTTATTGTTTTGTCTGGAATGTTTCACAGTATAGTATTAAATGTTTCTATCACCATGGAGACCAAACCTGACCAAGTTACAGGTCAGATCTGTGGAGAGGTCAGAATGCCTGTTTTTCTAGGTATTTCTGAGCAATAAAACCCCTTGTAATTGAATAAATGTAAGGTAGAGCTGTTTAATGTCCTATTGCGGAATACTGTAGAGCAATGACATCTCCATATCCAACAACAACCAAAAACTTACACAGTGCACCTTTAAGTATACATTTTAGGTATCTGTACCTTACTTAAGTACATTTTAAAGTACTGTTTTCTTTGACTGGTATCTGTACTTTCTACTTCACTACATTTTTTAACTGGAAAAGTATAAGTATTTTTTATAGTATGAGACTTACAGAAAAGCCTGAGGGTATTTTAACATGTTCATAATTTGAGCAAAGTAAAATATGCAAGTAAAAACAGCTTGAAAATAAATCGATTCAGCTGTTTCTGTTGAACAAAATTCAGCACAAATCAGTATCAAACTCACTACATTTGAAGTCTTATTAGATCTCTAAAGCTGCATAAAATACTTTTACTTTTAATTCTTTAAGTGCATTTTTTAAACTGGTACTTTAATACTTTTACTTAAGAGATTTTTTTCATGTTGTACTTTTACTTGAGTATTTTTTTTACTCTGGTATCTGTACTTTTACATAAATAACAAAATCAAGTACTTCTACCACTTTCAATGAAAACTACAAACAAAACTAAACAAAAGACATAGTGTATATTACAAAGAGTTTGGGTCTGGTTAGAAAGTGAGAAAATTACATCCTTCCAATAAGTGACACATTAGCACTCACAAACGGTCATACATATTAAAATATCGCCCTCAGTCTGTGTTTTGCAAAGATAGGTCAAGGGGAGCAGCTGAATATTTATAAGTTCCCGAATTATTCTGCAGAAAATTTCTCTCAACATCACAGCTATGACAGTGAGCCCGGAAAACCGTTGAAGGCAGACAGGATGTTGTAATTGGCCAATTAAATTTCAGAAAGAGACTGAGTAAAATGGTAGAAAAGCGAGTGTCTTTGCAGGTAAAGTACTCAGCATTAAAGGCTCAAATGGTTCTGTTCTTACAGCTTTACTTTTGAAAATTGTTATACAAATATTACACTATCCATTGGAAAAGATGTACTTTCTACACCTGGCTGGGTACATCAAAAAGGCCTACTGAAATTTCCTCAATATTTAAAATGCAAGGTAGTATATATTGACCAGGAAAAAAACTAACCTTGAAACCAATGCCAGAGTCCATATTCTTTCTGGAGATGAAAATAAACTCATATAGAACATTGTGTGATGCATATTACTGCGCAAGTGTGGCCCTAAAAGCACAGTACATCTCCATAAGAGGACATGTTCATTGTTTCTCATTAAAAACAGATTCGAATACAAACATCTTTTTCGAGTCTCCAAACATTCACAATATTTACTGTGTAGCTCTCTTCAAACTATTTTCTTGTCCAAAAACAATAAACTGTAAAAGGCCACTCCAATCTCCTCTGGCTTGATTCAAAGTAAAATTGAAATTCCTCCTGTAATTCAGTGTCCTGCTGCTTCAAGACGTCAGCGAAAGACTATCTTCAAAAAGAAAATACGCTACAATGGCCCAGCAGATAATGGCGTCTGGATGGTCCCAGGATGAGTGGCAGAGATGATAGGCACTCGGTTACCTCGCTCACACAGCCGGACAGTCAGGGAACCTTCATCCTGGAAATAGATGATTCTCTTCTGCACGATGCTGGCCCTGTGAAGAAAAAAAAAAACGATATTACATGAACAGGAACACACACAAAATGCTGGCATTATGGCGACGCTACGACGGGATTAGATAGATAATGTGGTTCCTTTGCCACTATCTGGTCCATGCAATCTTCAGAGAGGGGACAGTAATGACTTCCCACAGGCATCGTAATGGACAAAACGAACATATATTTCACAGAGAGGGAGTAATAGATTATCTGGGGACAGAATCACGTTCCTGGAACATGCTCTGAAGCAGTTTAGATTGTGGGGTGGCTGTGGCCTGCAGGAGATCCCATCTAGATAACAAACACACTGAGAAGCAGAGTTAAAGTAACCGTTTTCCAGAGAATTCTTATGTTTGACTTCCCCGGGAACAGACAAAAGCTGGTAAAATAACAGCTTTTAGAAGTATAACTAAAAAAACATTTATCCTGATTAAATTTCCAATATTTCATGGGTATGTGAATCATTTAGCTAGTAAAAATATGTGTTAAACAGATGTTACTTTGTTTCACAGTATGGTATTACACTAATCTATCTCCATGGAGACAAGGAAAATGTGTCACCAGGCCAATTTAAAGGTCAGACCTTGTGAAGAATTCCTGGAAAAGTGGAAAAGTAATGCCATTGGTTACACAGTGCACCTTTATATAAATGACACAGTACAAGTTATGGTAGTCATTTTAAACAATTTCTGAATGCAATGTGCAATTTTGAGTGACACTTTTTGGTAGTACTTTAAAACATACTTACAATAAAATGTAATATTTTACACTTCTTAGACTAGATCAATCAAAAACTACTCAGCAATGGTCAATGCATTTTTGTCACTCTTGATACTAATTCAAATATTTATTGACAACCCAAAGGAAACAAAAAGACTTGATATCTTGCAGGTTTATATTAATACGGCACAAATGTTCAGTGCTTATTAAATAAAAGGTTTTGAAGTTGGTCAGGCACATGGGGCTGTTTTATTCAGCTTTGCCCAAGGTTCTCTAATCATATCACTGTTTTATGGCAGAACTTAAGTGCTGCGCTAAATAAATAATGCCCCATTGCTGGTATATCTTAATAAGAATAAGTCTGTTTAGTTGTCATGCTTAATGCCAACTGTGAAACAATCGAGCCTTCAGTTGTTTCTAAATGCAATGTTAACCAAACAAACAAACAAAAACACTTATAGATGTGTAGACTGTTTACTTAGACCATTTATTATTGGTGCAAGGGACAGTTTTTGGTAGTATTTGAACAAAAATAAAAAGATACTGACAATGAATGTAAGATTTTAAACTTCTTAGACTAGATGTTTCCTGAAACTACTCAGGAAAGGTCAAATTCTTTCCAATTAATGCATTTTTCTAGCTTTGATACTGATTTTAGTGGCAGTATCTGGGTATATTTACTGACGACCCAGCTTCCTTTTCAGTTTATAAACAAACTCACTGAATGCATTAGTGTGAAAAATCTCTGACAAAGTAATAACAATGGACCCTCCACCAGAAAAGTTACATAGTGCACCTTTATTTATAAGGGTTAGGGTTATGGTAAAGTGCAAGTTATGGTAGTCAATTTGAAAGATTTCCAAATGTAATATTAAGAAAAAAATAAATAAAAAAAATAATGTTATAAATGTGCAATTCCGGGTGTTTACTTGCTCCATTTATTACTGGGGCGAGGGACAGTTTTTGGTGGTGGCAGAGCTCTTATAGTAGAGACATAAAGCAGGTCCAAATGTTCACAGAGCTAGGGAGACAGAGAGGCCAAACCACATTAAGCAGGAGTTATGGCTTATATTACACTTATAAATCTTACACAAGCCCAGTGCTACAATATAACCTGCAACACGGCTGACTGCTTAGGCATGAAATTGAAAAACAGTGAACTATGCCCACAATTATCTAACACTCAGATTCACTAATGGTGGCAGCACTGTTGACGCTACTTTCATTAATACTAACTGTAGCTATACATCAGTAGTTGGGAAAAAAAATCTGAAATGTCATATTTTTGTCCAGTGATGATTGATAGTTGTGAGGTGTCCACTTTATTAGACACGGTATGTTTCAGAATTTGATAGATAGAGCCCCGCTTCTGTCATCAGTTTTCAAATTTCGCTGTGTACATTTTTAAAGTGACAACCGAAAATGGATTGAAGTTAGCTCTTGTTTTGTCATTTGCTGCATAATTAATCAAACAACAACAAAGCTAGAGTTGCGAAACTAAACAACTGCGCTCCCAAAATTGTGAGAGTAATCTTCTACACTGGAAAAAAAAACAATATCTAGCTAAATTAAAATTACTTAAATTAAGAACATTTTTCTTTATTTGAGTAGATTCAACTTGACAAGTAAAATTATCTACCATAAGTGAATAAGTGTGTTCTTCTTAATTCAAGCAAAATTAGATTATGTTTTCTTATTTTAAGTACAAAATGTTGTTGTTTTTAAGTGTAGCAAGATGTATTTTCATATTTTAAGTGTAAAAAGTCTTGTTCCACTGGCAGATAATTTTACTTGTGAAGTGAAATTTACTCAAATCATGATAAAACTTTCTTAATTCAAGTCATCTTAACTTGACTAGATTTGTTTTTTTTTTTCCAGTGTAGAAGATTCCTCTCACAATTTTGGGAGCACAGTTGTTTAGTTTCGTAACTCTAGCTTTGTTGTTGTTTGATTAATTATGCAGCAAATGACAAAACAAGAGCTAACTTCAATCCATTTTCAGTGTAAACAATATATACACTGTATTTATGCCATTGGTAAAGCTACATTTTCAAATTGAGAAGGAAAGAAGTATTTGTTTTAGTATAATTTAAAGGTTGTATTAGGCTAAATTGAGCTTTAAGTTAAATTAGAATGTTGTTACTTCATCAAAAACATAGCTGGAGTTGTCTTTTGTTTCATTCACGCATGTTTTCTGTTTGAGAGAAAAACAAAACACAACTCCAGGTATGTTTGCGATGAGAAAATATTTTAACATAGATCAGAAAATGGCGAGGCATTTGCCCTTTAAAATAAATCTACAGCCTCTTTGGCACATTATTAGTATTCTCATGCACACATTGTCAGCTTTTGAATAGTTTTAAGATAGCAAAAAGAAGAAGAACCACCAACGTCCAAAACTCTGTCAATCATAGCAATGCTTACGAGTCTAACTTCCAGGTTTTCCTATCAATAAAATACGTATTATTGGCGAGAGAGTACAGCAGTCTAATTTGTAACCACGTGTTGCTTTGTGTAAATAAAGTTGTGTAGCCCAGTTTTTAATAACAATGCTGCATTAAAACACAATCTCTTTCTCTCAAATACAATTTCATGGACATGTTTTCAATGTAGCGTTTTGTGTTGTGCAATTGATTTACAATAGAGACAGTGAAAGGGACAATTGGTAACCCCATTGAACAGCTCAGTGATATGAAGTGAAGTGGCTGGAAGTGGACATGAGCTATGATTGCCTGTACAACAAACCCTCATAACTACCCGGTGTGTATTCTGCTAAAAGCCACTCAGCGGATGGTTCACATGAGGTCTGTGTGACTGTGGAGTTTAGAGTCAGTCCAGTTCACCATAAAAACCCCAGGGTCTTTAAACCACTCCTGTATTTTTTCCTTACGCCTGGTTCTGACAAATGGCTATGGTTCTGCCCAAAGTTCAAGCTCAGCCCTGAATTTGTGAGGTTTGTGTGAGAGCAAGTTTTAGAGCAAGTTTTATAGCCAGCTTCCTTGTGACATCGCCCCCTACAGTGAGATGTAATCACTTTTCCTCTCCACCGCCATTGCCCGACCCTGAATTCACCAGTGGGCCGACTGAGCACTTGGGGCCCCGCTGCTCTCCCCAGGCTCAGCTGTCTCTCTCTCTCTCTGACTCAGTCGGTTTGGTAAAATAAAACTCAAGGAGATCTGTGGAGAGTTTGACAGCATTGTGTTACTGTTTAGGTTTAACACAGAAATACATGCTTCCTGTATGAACATATACGTCCACACATCATTTTCTTTTACTTTTACTTCCCTTTTACTATAGATACTTATTTTGTTCCAACTTCCAAATGATCTAGATTCTACACTGTACAATTCTCACTTACATTTGCTTTTCAGTTGGACCGGCCTTCAGGATGTGTGTGTGTGTGTTCACACCTGAGCAGAGTTAGAGCGACTCTAAATTGTTATCAGAAAGTTTGTTTATTTTACCTTTACAGCACAACAACACCATTTGGCACCAAAATGTGCAGTTTGTACAAGCTGGATCTACATGACGTTCCCATCTGTTTCACTCCTGCTGTTGGCGTCCTTGTCAAGATATATATTTTTACTTCTACAGTAGTAACTTTGCCTGTAGCATAATAATGCATGATATAGTGTATTGTATCCTACCACTGAGTTCCATATGTCACTGACAGTTCCCCTCAGCTGCCTGCAGGCTGGACCCAGAGAAGAGAGAGCTTTGACACAGTGCTCATGTCTACATTTTCATATGAGAAGGATTAGGAGAAAAGATGGATTAGTGGATATGCAATTCTGAAATAAATAACCTGGCCTTCTTGATTTCATTTTTTTTTTTAAAGTAAAGATTTTTAGTACTTTGCTGATCTAGTCCTTTGACTTTGACATGTTTGAGAGACTCTAGTTTAAAACTCTTCTCAGAAAACCAAAGTCATTTGGATGACCTGGAATGGAGTCTCATTGTCAGACCAGTTGGACTTGGACTGTAAAAGTGATGTGAGTGAAGAAAAGCTAAGAGAGTCAATTACAAGAGTCTCTCGTCTTCTCCACATGTATTGTGATAGCTGCACCAGGAATAAGTAGTTTCGATGCCAGGTCTCACAACTACCTACCGAACTGCAGTTTGTATTCACAAAGTCAATCCACAAATCGATAAATGACCCTTTCCCTGCCCACATCCAAACAGTGAGTTAACACCCAGCTGTCTTTGGCCCCTGCAAACAAAGACAGACCCACCACAGCGTGCGGCTCTACAGAGGAGCACTTTTATAGGAGAGCTA